TATGTATGTATGTATGTATGTATGTATGTATGTATGTATGTATGTAGAAAGAATTCAAAAGAAGAAACAAACCTTTATTTTACGATTACTTGCTTTCCTGGACAGCTTTAACCATGCTTTTTCAGGTGCTGATCCTAACCATGTGGTCACTAGGACATAATCTATAGATTTAAAGGGTTGCATTAGGCTCCACTTGAGAACCAGTTTTCTGTAGTGGTTAAAGCATCAGGCTAGAAAGCTAGTGTACTTGAGTTCTTGTCCTGCTTTGGGGTAAAAAAGCCAGCTAGCCAAGCTAAGTGATCTTGGACCAGCCCCTCTCTTTCAGCCCTAGGAAGGAGGCAATGACAAATCACTTCCAAAAGATATTGCTCGAAAAACTGCAGAGATTTGTCCAGTCTCAAAATTGAATATGTTTGAACGGAAGAAAAAAAAGGCTCCACTCAATCTTATATTTGACCTAAGAGGCTGACCATCAATGATTCAGGGACATAACTCTCATAAAATAATTTTAGTACAGATAGTAGAAAAATCCCTTAATAATGAAGCAACTCAGCCATTGGAAACTATAGGATTCCAGTTCTGTATAAAACATTTCCCAAGTTTAAACCCTGTATCTATTTCTCCAAACATCAGAGCTGACTCAGTGGAGAAATAGTTTCTTTGTTAAGGAACTCTTAAATACTTTGTTATGGAACTCTGGTGGAATGTAGGCCAGACTTGCAGGAGGAAGAGAGCAGAGACAAGCTTGGAATCTCTGATATGCAGAAAAAGGACAAAGGTGGAACCCCACCAGCACCATCAGTTTGCAGGGTTTATATAATAGTTATGCAGACAAACACTAGGGGTGACATGATAGCAGTCTTCCAATATTTCATAGACTGTCAGAAAGAAGAGGGTTCATCTTGGTTGAATTGCTCCACAGCAATTTGCACTACTCAGGTGACCCTGATGACACAAATAAACCTCCAGGTGACCTTAGCCTGCTAAAAGAATGCAAATGACCAGCTGTCTGCAAGGAATATATAAATCCTTCCATTCCCCAGCATCCAGTCAGAGCTAAAGAAGGCTCTTGGATGAGAAGTGAAATGTCTTCAAAGAAAAGAAAAAAAACCAGGAAGTCCAGTTGTCTCTTGAAGAAAGCAACTTTGGGATTATCAAAGAGAGTTCCAAATTATGAGAAATTTCCCAACAATGAGAACAAATAGTGAAATGGCTTGCTTTCAGAAGTTGTGGGTCTCCTTCACTGGAAGTTTTCAAGAAGAGGTTGAATTGTCCAGAATTTTATAGGAAATTTTATAATCCTTCTTGGGCAGAGGATTGGAGTAGAAGACCTTTGAAGTTCTTTCCAACTGTGTTGTTCTGTGTACTGTATTCTGTAAGCGTTTTAGTAAGGCAAGATTTCTTCAGTAGGTGAGCAACAATAAATAATCTACTCTGAAGTAACTCTTTGTGTCATTCTTGGTTCCTTTGGCCTGATAGGAACAGGACTATTTTACCAATCTTTGTCTTCCCTCCTTGGATATCTTGACTCACCGGCTATCATAAACCAGGATAAATGGAATATTATTTATTATTAATTTATTTATTAATTTTAAATATTTCTTTATCAACTTCAGATAAAAAATATAGAAGTATATATGAGTATGTCTAGGAGTATACTGAAGTGTGAATAAAATTATTCACACAATTCAAGAAAGGAATGTTTCAGCCAAGAATGAAGACATAAAAGAATCTTGTCAAATTTACAGATGATACTAAATCAAATGGGACACTAAAAGATTTGGAACTGCTTCAGTAGGAAAAAGCAGGGGACTAATCAGAGTAATTGTTGAATGCAGTTGAAGCTAACGTAGTTTTTCATTTATGAAAAATAAATGTGCAGGTTGGGGCTGTGTGGTTTGGATTTTATGATTTTATGAAAATTATAGTTGATCACAAACTGCACATGGGTCAACAATATGGCAGTTATGGCCCACCTCCCACCCACCTCCCCAAAATAAATGCAATTCAGAAGGCAGAGTCAACAGAAATAATTTCCAAATCATATTTTCCTTGGTCAGAGAAGTCCCATCCCCTGACTTTTTTTTTTTTTTTCGTGACTCCAGAAAATGGGACACCAAATAATATTGAATAATGAAAATTCCAGTTTACTGTTAGCAAAACTAATATTGAATGGTGGAATTAATTACCCAGTGAACTAGTGACTTCTTCTTCACTGGGTATGTTCATGCAGAGCAGGACGATCTTCTTTTAGGGATCTTTTTAAATTGAATCCCTAAAATGAATAGGTGGTTCCATAAATTGATTTAAGAGTTTGATTCCTTTCCAATTCTGAATCAATTCCATTTTTACAGGTTCTCTCAATAGCGTAGCAAGGAAACGGATGGGTCTCTGACACAAAGAGATCCTTTGTTTTGTTGCTTAGGGCTGGAGTGGTAGGAAGGACTGGTTGCTTCATTAATGTGTTCAGGGAGCAAAAGTATCTCAGGATTGGTTGGTTTGGAGTTCATTGGATCAGGAGCAGATGAACAACCTTTTCTTCGCTCAGCAGCCTTGGAAAGGAATTTTGTCCATCAAAATCAAGCCATAATAATGTGATTTTCTGCATCACTCACTTGTTATTGAACAAGAAGGTAAACATCTGTTTTAACATGCAGAGTGGTATAAACTCCATTTCAGCATACATGAGAACCAGGGGTGGGATCTGACCAGTGTAACTACTGGTTCGGTGATTTTGTGATTTGCGATTTGCACTCACATGCATGCGTACTTCCCGCTTCATGCGCCAGACATGCACTACACGCGTGTGTGGAACATCGTCAGCTATGCTGCCCAAACAGCTGAGCAGTGCTGCGCGCGGGTGTGCAGCATTTGAAAAAGCACTATTTTCCTGCTTTTTCAACCGCAGTTGTGCCGTGCAAAGCAGCTGAGGTTGAAAAAGCAGGAAATAAAGGTCGGGTAAGAGCACAGGTAGGCGGGCGGGCCAAAATAGCAGCAGACATAGAACCGGTTCTATGTCTGCTGCTCTTCAGAGCTACCAGTTCTACAGAGCGGACAGAAGCGGTAGAATCCCACCCCTGATGAGAACTGTATAAATGTAAATCCTACTCACTAAAACAACCAGGTTTTGAAGTGAGAACAAGCTATATGTTGAGATAATCATTTATTTCACACAAAGGAAAACCAATGTATTGACTGTGTACCCATTTCTTATTCTACCCTTTGTGGATTATCAGATATTTGGTAACCTTGACTAATCAGATTTTATCCCCTTCCACCCTGTTCCTGTAGTTCTTCCAAGTCACACATGTGGAAATCCAGGAAGACTTCAGAATGGAATCCAGCAAGGCACCACATTCAGCGTGGGAGACAAAGTGCGTTACAGCTGCAATCCTGGTTTCTTCTTGGAGGGGCACGCCTTGCTCACTTGCCAGGAGACCATGGAAAATACTGCATCCTGGGATTTCCCTCTGCCCTTCTGTCGTGGTAGATATTCTTTATTGTCTTTTATCTTGGATTTTCTTAATATGTGGCATAGGTGTTGAGGGCTGGAAATGACTTCGCAAGAATTATCTAGATTAAAGTCAAATCCTATTGTAAAGTGTTTGGAGTTCTGTAACAGTCTAAATTATGTGCGAAAGGAAAGCTGAATTATGCATCTCCATATATTATCCAACATAGCAGACTTGCATATTTTATTAAGCATAATTCATCCACTTTATGCTAATACGCACGTATTGTGGGAGTCAGGTTGTGCTTTGAACCTCTGGAGACACTATTCCTCTATCCTATTCACTTTTGTAATTTCAGCAAGCATGTAGTTTTAAATATATATTGGCAGCCATAAGAGCTAAGAACATGTTTGTTTTTTTAAAAAAAATCAGAGTTAAGGTTATTAGGAAACTGAATTATATATAATTTTTCCCTTGAACCCACACAGAATTGTGGCATATGTATTATCTAACCTAGCATAATATAGGTAGGCTTGAAAACAGTTTTCTTCAGTCTGTTTCCACTTTGGTTATGTGTATATAGCAATGCCACTTGATTCCCTGTCATTCTAATCATTCTACATGGGATTAACCAGTCAGTTAATACACAGAAGCTTTTACATTACTTTATCATGATATCCGTTCTTCCTGTTCTCTCATCTTTTTCCCTCCCTCATATATCCCTAGTGTCCTTCAGCACAATATCTTGTATTGATGTTTTTTTTTTTTAAAAAAAATTGAGCCTTTGAGCATGTAATCAATTAGCAATCCTGGGATGCAGCATTGATCTTGCATTTAAATTGAGTCAAGATGGTTTGCGAATTGATAGATAATTCTTGGTGCTTTCCTAAATAAACAACATATCATGTGTGTGTGTGTGTGTGTGTGTCTGTGTCTGTGTCTGTGTATGCCTGTGCACACATACACATGCAGGCTTCAAGTCAGTGTTGACTCCTAGGGGCTGCTAGGACCAGCCCCTGAAGTTTTCTTGGCAAGATTTCGATTGTGGTTTGCCCTTGACTTCTTCCTAGAGCCAAGAGGGAGTGGCTCAAGGTCACCAGGCTGGCTTTGTCCTGAAGGCATTCACGGTCTTCCAATTCCTAGCCTTATGAATTACATATTTATCCTGCATTTATCTGTTGATTCTTTTATGATCCTGGGAGTTTGACAACATTGATATTGTACCAGTGAAGGACCCTCCATCTCTCAATTTTTCATCCTTTAAATTAGCATCATCGCTCTTGACTTTGTGCTGAGTTAGTGGTTCCACTGAAGAACTCTTTTGTTTTAACTTGGCTGTATAAAATAATCGTGATGTTAGATCATGCTTAGTTATATTTTGTACAGGACTGGGGAGTGGGGAGTTGCTCTTATGCAACCTAGGTGCATTTGGGACTAAGCCAAACTACCTTGCTAGTTTTTATTAATGCTCTCAGAGGCCTAGAGGCAATGAACAGAATCCACTCTCTCAAAAAAATATACTTAGCTGGGCAGCTTTGTCCTTGATATATGTGCCTTTTGTTTTTAATGTTCAAATATTTGGAATGACTTTAAAGATACCATATTTTGTTAATTACTTTTAAAATATTTCACTATATATATTTTAGAGAGTTTTTTTTTTTATTATGTCCTTTTAAACTTCAACCTCAGGTACTTATGTGAGTAGAAGAGTAGAGTATAAATCAAATAAATGAAGATACTGAATTATAAACCATGTTTCTAAGTTCTAAGCTGCAAATAATCAAATCACATTTATCTTATCTGATGTGTGTGTGTGTGTGTACCTTTGAATCAGTATTAACTGCTGGTGAATTCTGAAAAGTCTCTGCAGTTTTTTTGGCAAGATTTTCAAAAACAAGAGCTAAGTCAATGCCACAAGAAAAATAAGTAATAAAGATTAGACCACTTGAAAAGAAAATGAGTAAAAAATGTAAAATGTAAGAAAGGTTTGGGCCCACATGGTAATAATTTTGTTCCAAAAATGTTAACAAAATTAATTTTCTTTGCCCATGATGACCTATTTAAGGTAAAAGTGACATATTGGATTCATGATACTAATTCAGAATCTTTTACTATGATGAAATCTCAGCCTTCTGAGTTTTTTACATCATATCTTGAAGCTTACTTTTTTTTAAAAAAAATTATAATTTCATTTCTGTCACTACCCACTCATATTTAACTCAACTTAGTGCACTGGCCTGAACTCATCTGTCATACCATAGTGTGATATTTAAACCCAACCCACAGTATGGTATGAAAGTATATACTAAAATAAATTCATCCCAACATATTGCCAGGAATACAGCTAATTCCCAAATGGCTACACTTCTCAGCATTACAGCCCAATTTGTGTGGAAAAAGTGAGAGGACAAAGTGCTCTGTACACCTCCTCAAGCTCTAAAGGAAACATGTAAATCTAACAAGTAAACAGATTTTTTAAAAAAAAAACTTTGCATAAAGCTAAATCTGATTGCCTGTGATCCTTTTAAAAATATTTTAATTCATGGAGGGGAGGAGAGTATGTTCAACAACCTTCATGCTTGATCCAAAAGCTGTAAGATGCACAGTGCAATGATCAGGATAACTGTGGTGCTACTTCTGCTGCAGCCAGCTGCCTACAATTTGGCAGTTCAAATCCCACCAGGCTCAAGTTTGACTCAGCCTTCCATCCTTCCAAGGTGGGTAAAATGAGGAGCCAAATTGTTGGGGGCAATATGCTGACTCTGTAAACCGCTTAGAGAGGGCTGTAAAGCACTCTAAAGCGGTATATAAGTCTAAGTGCTGTTGCTATAACAGCTGGGACATGTAGCCTTGTACATGTTTGAATCAACGCCACAAGTTGCCAGTTATTTACCAAGCCATGTTCACATGTGGTAAAACAGGTAAGATGTTGGTCTTGGACTGAGAAAGAAACGCATTAGGGACTCTAGGTTAATCATTCTCTCTGTCAGCTCAACTTACTCTATGGAGTTCCTGTTACGGGAACAAAATGAAAAAAGATCACTATCAACTTTTTTTGAGCTCTTGAGGAAAAGGCAGGATATATATCTAACAGAAGTCAGACTCCAAAAACAAACAAAAAAGACATGGAGAGTTACTTCTGATCAGTTTCCTTTGTTGTTCATCAGCTATAGACAGAAATCTTGCCAAACTAAAGCCACTACTTGCATCATTGTTATAAACTGAGAACTTCTAGGGAGAAACTGTCTTGAACCTCTTCCTCACAACCAAAGTTTCTAAACTTCACTTTCTCTTGGTCCACTGGAATGCAGCCCTTCCCTCCTACGAATCCAGAGCACATTCCACCTCACAAATGATGAAATAAATAAATTTGGGAATAAAGCTAGCAAGTGCTTAATTGCATAGATGGCTTCTCGGCTATGGAGTCCCCTCCCAAGTTATTTTGGTAAGTTACTGGCACTTTTAGGATAGAGAAAAAAGGTTGATTCCCTTTTAATTCTCCGCAGTTGTTTGGGTCTCTTTCTTGTTGTTTCTCATTAAGGCTTGATAATATTTTCATAGAAGTCTTCATAGTTCCCTTGAAATGCCTCTGATGTGTCCTCATAATGCATTCATGATTTCAAATAAGAGAGGAATGTCAGATGGTATGTAAACATCTCAACAAATGAGGTTGCCTTTTATCAAGCATCCTTGATCTTCTTGGTTTTGTGTCATAGCAAACTCCTGTATATTCTATCTCAGTGAATTGTACTGAGAACTGTTGCGGACAAAAAGTCTGTTAAAGCACCTTTCTTCTCTAGTTGCCCCATGTACCAATGTTTCCTAGAGCAATGTGAACAGGAACGACATCCTGGGAGAGCATGGGGCTTAGGGAAGCCTCATTTGCCATCAGCCTCTTTCTCTTTTCCTGTAAATGGGCTATTTGCAAAGCTCAAGAAAGGGTTGATAACTATCCCCTTTTTTCCTTCATACTATTATAAAGCATTGGCATTTTGCTCTGCACTTAGAAACAGTTACTGTCTGCAATAGTGGGAGCATCAATTATTGAGTGCCACCTGCAGCCCATTAGAGGGGGAGTTGCCCAGAGAATCCTTGCTCTGTTTTGGAAATTAGGATCATGTCACTGCACATCCTCTTCTTATGTGGCTCTGTTAAGGTAGTGATCACATTCCTTCAGATTATTTCCCTGATCCAGTTACCTTTGTTTCCTCTTCTTATCTACCTCTTCTGGTAGATGCTTGGGAATCACAGGAAGGCAAGTGGGATTTTAGTCTTGAAGGGCTGTAAGGTTTCTTCTCTACCCCCCTTTCTTTTTTCATGTGATCTACTAGAAAAGTTGTCATGTTCAAGTCTACCTGCAGAAAAAATTTCTATGGAAATGGGATGCAAATGATTTGATCCGCCACCCCAAAACCTCTTTATAATGATTTCTTTAGCAAGTGTACCATAGTCGCATCACTGAGAAATAAGCTAATTGCAAGAAAAGCCAAAAATGATATTTTGTGTATATTCGTAGATATTGTACTCTCTAATTGCAAATGGAGACGCGGGTACTCTATTTTTCTTATCTTCATCTTTAAGTGCTCTGGTTTTATTGTATTGTGAACAGTACTTGTACAATGACAATAAAGTTCATCTTATCTTATTTTATCTTATCTTATCTTATCTTATCTTATCTTATCTTATCTTATCTTATCTGTGAGGCAGAAGGGTGCTTTTGAAATTCTATAAATAAATAAAGAGCACCAAACTTGGCTCCCATATTTGGGACAGATAACTTCTGTAGCAGGAGTCCATTTCTAATAAACAGTGGTGGGATGCTGACTTTCAGAAGTGGAATAAAACAACAGAGTTAGAATGGACCTTGGGGGTTTTCTAATACAACCTCGTGCTCAAGCAGGAGACCCTATACCATTTCAGACAAATGGCTGTCCAGTCTCTTTTTAAAAGGCTCCAGTGGTGCAGCACCCACAACTTCTGAAGGCAAGCTGTTTCACTGGTTGATTGTTCTCACTGATAGGAAATTTCTCCTTA